ATGCTATTGTAAAAGGAATTGTTTCCCTAATTTCTCTCTCAGTGAGTCTGTTATTTGTGTACAAGAAGGCTATTGTTTTTTGAGTGTTGACCTTGTGTCCAGCTACTCTACTGAATCTGTCAATTAAGTCTAGAAGTCTTTTAGTGGAGTTTTTTGGGACTTCTATGTAAAGTATCATATCATCAGCAAATAATGACAGTTTCACTTCTTATTTTCCTATCTTTATTCCTTTTATTTCTCTTTTATAATTGCTGTGGCTAATGTTTCCAGAACAATATTGAACAGGAGTGGTGATAGTGGGCATCCTTGTCTTGGTCCTGATTTTAGCATGAAAGTTTTCAGTTTTTGAACATTTAGTATAATGTTGGCTGTTGGTTTTTCATAGATAGCCTTAATCAGGTTAAGATAAAGACCTTGTATTCCAATTTTCTGTAGAGTTTTTATCATAAATGGGTGCTGGATTTTGTCGAATGCTTTTTCTGCATCTATTGAGATGATCATATGTTTTTTGTCTTTTACTCTGTTAATATGGTGTATTATATTTATTGATTTACGAATGTTGAACCATCCTTGCATCCCTGGGATAAATCCGACTTGGTCAGGGTGTATGATTTTCTTGATGACCCTCTGTATTCTGTTTGCCAGTATCTTGTTGAGGATTTTTGCATGTATGTTCATTAGGGAGATTGGTCTGTAGTTCTCTTTTTGGGTTGGGTCTTTCCCTGGTTTTGGAATCAAAGTAACACTTGCTTCCAGGAATGAATTTAGAAGTATTGCTTCCTTTACAATTTCCTTGATGAGTTTAAAGAGTAATGGAGTTAGTTCTTCTTTAAATGTCTTATAAAATTCAGCAGTGAACCCATCTGGACCTGGGCTTTTCTTTGTTGGTAAATATTTTATTACCTTTTCAATTTCACTCTTTGTAATTGGGTGTTTAGAATTTCTATATCTTCATTTAACTTTGACAATTTATATATGTCTAAGAATCTGCCAATTTCTTCTGTGTTTTCCATTTTATTGGAGTAGAGGTTCTTGAAGTAGGTATTGATGATCCTCTAGATTTCTGTTGGATCTGTTGTGACTTTCCCTTTTTCATTCTTAATTGCATGTATTTGTGCCTTTTCTTTCCTTTTTGGCTAAAGGTTTATCGATTTTATTTATTCTTTCAAAAAACCAACTCTTTGATTCATTGATTTTTTGTATTCTTCTCTTAGTCTCCATTGCATTGATTTCTTCCCTGATCTTTATAATTTCCTCTCTTGTATGAACTTTGGATTCGTTATGCTCTTCTTTTTCTAGGAGCTTGAGGGTCTACCTTAGGTTACTTATCTGAATTTCTCTGTTTTCCTAATATGGCCATTCACTGCTATGAATTTCCCACATAGAACTGCTTTCATTGTGTCCCATAGATTCCTGTATGTTGTACTGGCATTTTCATTTACTTGTAGAAACTGTTTAATTTCTTCTTAATTACTTCTGTGACCCATTGGTTGTTCAAGAGTGTGTTATTCAGTTTCCATGTGTTTGTTGGTGCTTTGTGGTTTCTTATGTTACTGATCCCCAATTTATTGCACTATGGTCTGATGATATACAGGCGGTAACTTCTATTCTTTTACATTTACTTAGATATGTCGTATGAGCTAACATGTGGTCTAGTCTGGAGAATGACCCATGTTCACCCGAAAAGAATGTGTATTCTGATTTTGTGGGGTGGAACACTCTGTAAACATCTATTAAGTCCATTTGTTCAATAGCTTGGTTCAGTTCTAGAATTTCCTTGTTAACTTTTTGTCTAAATGATCTATTTGTGACAGTGGAGTATTGAGGTCCCCCACTATAATTGTGTTAGTGTTTATTTGGTTTTTCATGTCTATTAATATTTGTTTTGTATAGTTGGGGCCATTTGTATTTGGTGCATATATATTTAGGATTATCATCTCTTCCTCTTGGATTGTTCCCTTCACATGGATGTAATGACCATCTTTGTCTCTCTTAATTTGTTTTGGTTTGAAATCTACTTTTTCTACAAATAAGATTGCTACCCCTGCTTTCTTCTGCGTTCCTGTGGCATGGAGAATTGTTTTCCATCCTTTTACTTCCAATCTATGGATTTCCTTTTGAGTTAGGTGTGTTTCTTGTATAAGTAATAGTGGAAAACTTCCCAGACAGAGGTAAAGAATTGGACATACAGATAAGTGAGGCATATAACTCCAACTAGCCATGATCACTCACCTCTACTCTTCTGCCATGTGAGGACAGAGTATTTGTTCCATTTCTTTTGCCTTTGAGTCCCTTCCAGCATGTGAAAATGGAGCACTAAGGTTCTCACCAGAAACAGGATACACCAGTATCTTAATCTAGGTCTTTGCAGCCTCCAGAAGTATAATTTATAAATTTCTATTATTTACAAATTACCCCTCAGTGGCATTTTGTTATACAAATGCAAGTGGACAAAAGGTAATATCTCTAAATCATTACCCCAAACAGAGATGCCTGAGAGTCATGGGAATTTAGATTCTTTGCAGCTAGAGATGGGGGTCTA